CGCATCTTTAGAGGGGACGTGGGGCTCAGGCATCGCCCCAAAGCTTGGCAAGGGGCACGGGGACATGCGCTCTCCTCTGTCCGAACACTCTGCTGGGAGACTGAACACATCAGAGTTCTTGGATGCTCTTCCAAAGCATCACTATTACTATGGTTTGGATGGGGACCAAACCCTCACTCTAACTATAACGACAGAATAGCAAATTTGGCTAACAGCGGGAAGGGATCTCCCTAATGACATGCTCATGCTTCAGCGCATCTTTTCCCGGTGTTCCTCTTGCATGATTTAAAGTCTCCAGCCCCGCAAGGAAGGACAGTCCGTAAGTGCCGTGGAGGGATGGGTGTGGAGGTGGATTTCTGCTTGATGATGGTGGGAGAAGTTCAAAACTCTTTTCTTTTCTCATGTTGCTAGAAAAGAGCGTTTTTCTGAGTAATGCTTAGTAGACCCTATGAATCACCATCTGCATAACTTTATATGGGGGCTGCTATTCTCAGCATCTCACTGGAACTATGTAAACTATCAACATTCGTATCTGTTTGTACATGCAACATGCAAATCTATTCCCTGGAAAACTGTTTCAGAGGAGGTCAGAGGAGGAGATGGGACATAACAAAATGTCAGGGTGGAGATGGGTGTTTGGGAGATGGTAATTGCCATCAGTGGAGGGGCAGCCTCTCCATGGAAACTTGTGCTGGGAATGCTCACCGGGAGACCTGCTATGCGGGATGCTGAGTGCCCTGGGAGTGGAGCTAGGAATAGGCTCAGGGATCAAGGACTTGGCTCACACCTTGCTTATGCCCCTGCCCCTTCAGACTCTTCTTCCAGTGGTTGATGTGCTGAGAAAACATTGTGGATCTTTCAGAGAGGCTCAGGAGAGCCGTGGCAGCCCAAGAGGGGTTTGGTGAGGGGTTTGGTAAGTGGATGGAGCGATGGCAATGCCACCCAGCACGGAGGAGCTGCCCCCGCACACCGCTCTGGGAGCACGTGCGGGTAGGCTGGAGGAGCTTTCAGCATTGCTCTCCTCTCTGTGCTGGTTTTGTCAAGAGAGAAGAGTTTATTCTCTTGAGCTGTCAATCCGTCACCTCCCAGAGGCTCTGCGCCTTCCCTCCACCTCCCCCTCACAGCCAGCACTCCCAGATGTGTGCAGAGCCAGGGGCTGCAAAATTCCCCATGCGCAGGCAAGGGAATCACAGCATGTCCCAAACCTCACCAGGGAGTTCACAGCATCTCCCAAGCTGACCCCAAAATGAGAAGAGTGTTGACTGAATGTTTCAGCTCTTGGTGCTGGTTCAATCCAAGCTTTCAGATTGGAGTGACCTGACATTTCCATGCAGTTGGATCAAGAGCTTTGCTGTAGGGTTTTTTGGGTTGTGGTTTCTCTTTTCCAAATAATACAGGCTGAAATTTTTCCATGAAAATGTGATGCTCTCCAAAGGAGCTGCATTCACGGGTCAGTAGGGTCCTTGTGCTCTCCCAGGCATCTCCTGCTGCAAGGCAGTGTGAGCCCAGCTCATCTGCTGTGTCCTGCTCACGTTCAGTGGTGAGCTGAGGACGCTGATCTCTAATTGCATCTAACATCAGTTCCATCAGTCCCTTCTCTGTCTCAGCTCAGCCAAACCCTTGCCATTCACCCAGGAGCATCCAAACCTGTCCCCCTGTTAAAGCTCTGCCTCATCTCAGCCCAGGAACATGACCTTCCCAGCAGGTGACTTGCAGGGGCTGGTGGGCAAGACTGGCCACAACCAGCCTGGGTGACAATTTGGGTTCATGCACCTGGGATGAGAGCTGAAGCATGCTGGTGGGGCTCCCAGTCCTGCAGCTTTCCTGCAGGCTTCCTAAATCCCACTTCTCATCAGATTCCTTCATTAAATGTAGATTAGATCAGATGATGTTTCTTTCACTACAAAGTAATTTGGCTTTCCATTTAGTGGGCCCATCTGATAAATAATGGCTTGAAATAATGTAATTCCACCTGCCCTTGATCACACTGAGTCTGTGCTGGACTTCTTCTCCCTGCCTAGCTTTGTCTCAGTGCTTCAGGTCTCAGGGTACAATTTAAGTTCCTGTTGTAGGAGATGAGCCCTGCCTGGAGGAATGGAGATCAAAGCCACCAGATTTTCCTCATGTTACTGACATACAGACAAAGTGATAAAGACAGAGGTGAGGGCTGGGTATGGATTATCCAGCTTCCTATCCACTTGAACCACATGTCTGTCCTGTCCAGCTCTCCACTAGCACTGCCACTATGAGAAGTCCTTACAGTGGAGTCACCTGGGACTGAATCTGTCAGGGAATTCTGATGCTTAATTCCCACATTGTCCAGAGCTTTTTTGCCCATCAATAAGTGGGAGTTCAACCTACATCTTCTTGCTGGACAGTGAGCAGGGCCAGAGGGGACTTGGTGGGTCCTCTCTGCCTCCCTCAACAGCTGATTATTTGGGGGTGGGGGATGCACAAGCCCAGGGAACAGGTGCTTGTTGTTTGCTGGAAAAAGCAGTGGGGCGTGAGAGCCTCACGGAGCAGAAATTAGCTCCCTCTCCCCAAATTTTCCTGTGTCAGGAAGGATAGGTCCTCTCAGTGTATGACACTGGGTGGCTGAGAAGTGCCACCCAGCAGGAACATGTGGCACTGCCTTATCTCTTTGGTTGTCAAACCACCCCCAAACCACCCTGATAAGGATGGTGAAGGTGGCGGTAACACCTGTGGGATCAACTGTGATGAGGAGCTGAGGTGTGTGCTGGAGATGACACAGGGGAATAAGATTTTGTGTAGCAAACCTCATTCGGATGAAGATAGAGCAGGCTCTTCCATTGTCAGGGTATTTACTTCACCTTCAAAATAAAACAAAGCATTTGACTGTGTCAGAAAGGGACATCATAGAGGGATGAGTAAGAGCCTCATAGGGGTTTGTTGCCTCAGCCCCCTTGACCAACATAGCAAAAACACCTGCTTCAGTGGTAGGCTATACCCTCACCAAGGGTTTAGCTCACATCCAGGAATGACTTTCAATGGAGGTATGGATGGATTCCTGCTCCCATCCTCATTCTGATCTTGGTCATAGTGGAAAGCACAGCTATTGCAGGCTCCATCAGTGACAGGAGAGCTCACTGGGACCCTTGCTCACTTGATGTCTTGGGAGATGTCCATAGGTGAGGTCCCCTGGTTTGCCAGCATATGAGAGCTTTTTCCCCCCAAATAGCACCTTTGTGACTTTCAGAGTTGGTACTTGGCTCTTTTCCCTGTGAAAGCAAAGCTCTGTGCAGCCCTGAATCTCCTGGGCTGCAGGCTTTTAAGCTGTGGTGCCAGACACCTACTGTCACCAGATTTGCATCCAGTTCTGGAGGAGAAAACAGGCACACTGATAATTTGGAAGTGATGACATCGTAAATTTATGTCCCTCTCTCTAACCTCTTCCATAAGCCATGCTTTGAACAGAAACCCAGCTGGCATTCCAACAAGCCTGGGAGGAAGTCTGGAATAAAACCCAAAGACAAGAGCTATGCTAACCCCTAGAGCTGCCCCTGGAGCTGCCCTGGCTGGGAATGTCCATCCTGCCTCCATGGGAGTGCTATGTTTTTTCTTGAAAATTAAGATGTTTTACAAGGCTGTTGGGAAGTTTATGGGCCAAAATTACTGCTGACTTTGCTCTGCCCAAGGGCTGCCCATCTGAGATGGTGGACATGCTACTTCTGATGGTCAATAGTAAGTAGTTAAAAGGCTGCAACTCCCAGAGAAGTCCTAGCTCAGTCATTTTCTCCTCTGGCAAGTCTACTATGACTTTGTCCTGCTCAAACCCTGCCCTCTTCTTCTCTTGCAGGATGTGGGCTCTCTCATGCCTTGTCTCACTCTTCTTCCTTCCTAAAGCCCTCTTCTGAAGGATGGTAGCTGCCTCTTTCCGCTACGGCATGACCATCACCGGGGCCGTGCTGCTGGTGACAGGGACATTGTGCTTTGCCTGGTGGAGCGATGGGGAGGTGGGCTCCACGGTTGGCAGCGGCACTCGCCTTCTCCCTCCCCGGGAAGCCGAGGCAGTTCCCAGCTCCTCCTCCTCCTCCAGCGGCCTGCTCCGCTCTGTCAGCTTCTTCTGCTGCGGCATCGGTGGCATCCTCCTCCTCTTCGGCCTCCTCTGGTCTGTGAAAGCCAACGCCAGGGTGGTGTCTCGCCGCTACCAGTACCATTTCCCCAGGGACCTGCAGTACTTCACCGCGGAGCCTCTGGAGAAGTGGAACTGCAGGTGAGTGCCACATCCCTGCATGGTGCTTGGGTGGGCAGAAGTCAAGAGTGGTTTGAGCTGTCCCATGTGCCTCCTCCCAGGCTTGCTTGCTGGTGAGCTCAGATGAGCAGTGGTGCATCCTCACTGCCAGCCACTGCTCAGACCCCCGTGTGTGCTCTCCTCCTGCTTCACAAGCAGATGCTCTTGCTCATTAGTGTCAACCCAAGCCCCCATACTCCCCTCCCTGTCAGCTTCCTCTGTGCCCACGCTGGCAGTGCCCTTGGCTGGCTCAGCCGCAGCCGACTCTCCTTGCCCTGCAGGGCCATCACGGGCTGAGGCAGACATCTCCTTAGCAGAGCCACCAAGCAGAAGACTACATTGGTTTTCTGGCAGAAAGTCTGGATTTGGGGATGAGGGGAGTCACGCAGACCTCCAGCTGTTGAATCTCGCCCTGGTCTCCCAGGTCTGCAGTGCTCTGTAAGGATGAGGGCATTTATGCCATCTTTGATTAAAGCAAAATCTATGTTATAAAGGAGCTGAAAGAAAAAGAATAATTCTTGGATTGGCATCAAGATGAGAGTGTAGGCAGAGGGTCCTTTATGAAGCCCATTTTGGAGGGCTAGAAAGAACCCTTACCATGCCCTGAACACCACAGCTGCTTTTCGGGCTCTCCAACTCTTCCTGTGGGAGCCTGAGACTTATTCCCCCTTCTTGATTTAAAAGATTTTTGATCAAAAGGGATGTTTTTTTTCCCAGAGACTGCTGTGGAAGCGGAGCCAGACGGCCCTTCCCAGTGCTGTTTTATGGGGTCACAGCAAAGATCTTGGCTCCAGCATAAATCGGGCTCTGGGGAAAAGCAGCACTAAAAGAAACTCTTAAGAACATTAAACCATAAAAATTCAGTTGGAGTGGGAGGCACGTTCCTGGTTCTCCAGGGATTTTGGTGCCCATCTGAATATCTGTGAGACTGTGAGCCAGTCTGGGTACCCTGGGGAGGGATTCTTCCTCTTGGGGAGGGTTTTCTGTGCTCCCCATGGGGAATGTCCCCTTTCTTGAGCTTCCAGCTCCCATGCCAGATGGGAAACAGCACCCTGGCACTGCTGGCACTGTGGCAGCTCCTTCAGCTCCAGCAAAGCATCCTGGGCTGGGATAAATCCCCCTCTGCATTCTCAAGGCCGTATCCCTGTGCAAGCTGAAGTTGTTTGGCAAAATCCCCAGTGCAGATGCCCAAGGTAGTCTGTCTGGGACAGGGAGCTGCCAAGTTCAGGATGCAGGTATCCCAGCAGAGCATCCTTTGGACCAGCTGTGCCCTCTGATGCCCACTGCCTCCCAAGGCACACTGCCTGGGTTTGATCTGTGGTGGCAGGTTGCTTTCACACCATCCCCCATCTTGGGATGCCAAGCAGGACCATGCACAGGGCAAAGGCTGTCTGGAGGTTTTCCCTGTACACAAGACGTATTTGCTCAGTAAAGCACTGCTGGAAGCAGCACCAGGCTTGGCTGGTGCATGGAGGGCTCCAGTAGGCACCAGGGTGGGGTGTGATCACATGGGACCAACTGGAATGCCTGGCTCTTGCCTGGATGCTCATGCCAAACTGCTCCCTCAACTGCTGGCAGCCTCTGTGCTTTGGAAGGTGACTTTGGGATTAGGCATGTGATGAGGATGCTCTCCTCTCTGTGGGACCTTTTCACAAGGTCTCATATATGGTGTCCTACCTCCTGCATTGCTCCTCACCTGCCGATACTGGGAAGTAGCTGGTGTGGTCATCCCTTGCCATTGGGCATGCAAAATCTGCCCATGTGCTGCCCTCAACATGTGTTCATCTTGCTCAGGGATGCTCCAGCCAATGGGGTTGATGTTGTGTTGGGATGCTTCAGTCAATGGGGCACTGGGGTACATTGGTTGATGGTTGCTGGGATGCTCTGGTTGCTGAATGCTGAATGATCCAGTTAATGGGGCACTGGGATAACTCTGGCTAGCAGGGCACAGGGATGCTCCAGTTGTTGTGTGCTGGGATGCTCCAGTTCATGGAGTTCTGAAATGGCTCTGGTTACTGGGTGCAGGGATGCTCCATTTGGGTGCTGGGATGCCCTGGCTGATAGTGTGTGCTGCTGTTTCTTCTTCCCTCCCAGCACCTGGGACTCCAGTGCCATCCCCACCTACGAAGAAGCCCTTACGTGCAGACCTGCCCATGGCATCCCAGCCTATGTCCAGCCCCCGGGAAGGAAGGAGGACCTCACACCACCCCTGTACCACTACCTGGAGGAGGATGAGAGCTGGCAGTGTGGCCGCCGGCGCAGCTCCTCCGACAGCGCCTTGTTCCGCCCCAGCCCATCCTGGCTGGAGACCCAACACCCTGAGGAGGAGCAGGCAACACCTCCCCCCAGCTATGAAAACATCAGTGTCCGGGGGGTCTGAGCTGGGGGTGGCAGGGGCCAGGACTCTGTGGGTGGATGCCCAGTTCCTCAGCTTTAAACTGACCCCCTTCCTTTGTGGGGGTGAGAGGAGGGTGGGTGAGGAGAGGGAAGGTCTGCCTGGCTTTTTGAATGATCAGTCCAGGGCTGTTGGGATTGTGGGTCCTGCAGGTGATGTGTTCAGAGCATCAGGGCTAACTGGCATGTTTGAAAACCTTTGTATTTTTAATAAAACCACTTCTGGTTGTAGATGCTTTGCATTCCATGGTCTGACTCACCCTGGGGAGCTCCTGTCAGGCCTGGAGCTGCCCACTCAATAATAAAATCTGCAGCAAAGAACGAGGAATCTGGCCAGAGAAAAGCCATCCCTGTGCTGCCCCGTTCACTCCTCGGCCTTTGCAATGCCCCTTCCAGCCCTATCTCCATCACTTCCACCTTGCTTCCCTGCATACTGACTTCCCATGCCTCACTTCATTTGGTGTAGAGATGCTCAGTGGCTCGTGTGTGCAGCCAG